TCCTGCAAAATGCCCTCACAAAAAGTACTAACACAACATTTATTCAATTCTGAAATTGGTCAATTTAAGAACTCATTGCTAATATTCTATAAATATGCTCATCCACGTGTTTTACTGGGCACGTTGCTGAATTTTCCATAACTGCTACAACTCAGAGCATACTGAACAATAGGTTTAAATGGGTCATTACATTAAACTATCTCTCATAATATGCATCCCACAGCCCAATGGTAAGCATACTGTATGCCCTGGGGCTGCCGATACATAGAGGGAGGTCTAATGGTCTGCTGTATTACTGGGTTAATTGCCATGTCCTGGTCTCTATTGGGTTGTGGGTAGGGTTTTTATTTTAATTGTGAACCATCCTGTCCTGTAAACCCCCACACTAGGCCGCTTGGCACTAGTCTGTGGTGGGAGTATTAAGTGTTGGAGATGGTCTTTACAGTGCACTTGAGGCAGCTGACCCCACTGTGACAACTGAATTGGTAGTAGGCTGCCACCTGCTGGCAGTTTAATAAAACAAACCCCTCTTTGATGTCAACGAGGCCCACTCATTCTGATGACTGATAGATGGTTTTGATTTATCATCTGCTGACACGTCCAGTATCTTCATCATCAACGGTGTTATGCATGTGAAGCTTTAGACTCTAGAGCTTGGTTGCACTAAGGAGCTGCAAGATTCATAAGGTATGTGGGTAGTATAACAGCATAGTTAAAGTTAATTTATAATTAGTTTTTCATTTACTTTTGCAAATAGAAATGTTATTTTTCACCATGGTTCTTGACACCACTATATAATCAGTATGCCAACTTGCCCCATAAAGACATCTTATGATGTTAATCCAAAAACCTTGAAACTACCCAGTCATGTGTGTCATGTTTTCTTTTTAGGTATACATCACAAGCCGTTTGTTGTTCACCCTTGCTATTTATGCTATCAAATTATTTTAATAATTATCAGCTGGTCCTATAGATATCTTTATTTTCGTTGGTGGTTTCATACTTGTAATGTAAAAAAGTTGGACCGGGTTTGACTAAATGCAGTTACATTAAATGCAAACTTTCAGTTCATTAATGAGGTTTATATAATCACTTCTTGAATCTAAAAAAACCCCAAAACAACAGCAATTACAAGCCAACATTGAAACAATCAGTGTTTTATTTTTCTATTTAGGCTTTATTATATATTTTTATTACCCCTCAATTTTTTATTACCCCACTTTTCTTCAAATCTTTTTGAAAAAATTTACATATTAATGGCTCAAACTGCTCGGTGCCTCCCTGCATCAGAGTGAAAGCTCAGCTGAAATCTCGGGTGACTGCCCCCAAACGACTCACTGAGACAAACCAGCTCCCACACAAACACAGGAACAAAAACATAAACCTTGACATGGTCATAAAACCTTTTAGATGCATTTCATACGATTAATCATTTTTTAGAATTTTCCATCGGAGAAATTAAACCAGAGGGCTAGAGTCTGGTAAAGAATAATCTGGAGGACAGCCCCTGCTAACATATACACTGTACCTTCTGCTACTTTTATGTGAACAAAAATAAGGTAGAATGTGCAAATTTATGTATATACATTTATATTTAATATATGTGTGTATATATTTAGATAGATAGATAGATGTTGTAAGACATTAATGTACAGAGATTAATAGGATTCTGTATGAAATAAAGCAGAAATATAAGTTGAATGAATATGAGTATAACAAAGGCCTCACCTCATGTCCTACTTGTTATCATGCTGCCATCTAGAGGTAAACAACTGTATGACACACTTAATTTGGTCCACCCGCTCATATTGTTCACACACTGTTTGCCATGTGTTTCACTGGAATATTAACATAGAGTACATGCGTCATTTAAACAGAGATAATTGGATCTAGCAACTCATGGTAGAAATTCATTATGCTACTGGTGTTTATGCTGCTGCCTCTAATTCAAGCTGATTTCATGAGTATTTTAAATCTATCCAGTCACCTGCTGCACCTGGGATAGGAATCAATGTTGTAGATAAAATTAAATGTATGTCTATTTAAAGCATTGCAAATCCACTAGATCTTAACTGGATGTGACCACCTGAGAAGGTTACTCAAACAATATAAACCACTGTTTACATTCAGGTATAGCTTATTGTCTGAGGTAAAGCTTGTTTTAATTGTTTGTTGTAAGTTTTTAACCAATGTCAAAAATCTATTTTCTCATGAATGAATCAATGACAATACTTTAAACAACAATTCATTTTATTATTAACCAGAGGATTATATAGATACTTGAAGGTGATTTGGTTTCCTGGGTGTGGTTTCACCAGCTGCGCTGCTGAAAGAAAGATTTGTTGGAGTATAAAGGATATGCACAAAGGATATGAGGTCTATCTACAAATTTAACACAAGCAGATGCACCACAACAATGTGACCCAAAGTAAAAACCTGTCTGTTACATAAGGATCTATTTTAGCCGGCACCAGTAAGTTAGCTCAATCATGTGGTTACTATTATCACAGGGTTTTATCTCAGGGTGTGCTAATGCTGAGGTGCAACCACATTTTGGAACATACACAAATGAACAAATTGCTACTTATACTTTGAGGCAGACTTTAGAGTGAGACATAAGAACAAAGTTATGCGTATCTGAGAAATCCTCTGAGGCTATGCTGTTGGGACCACACATCAGCTAGCAGGAAAATATCTGCCATCATTTGTTTTTACGTCTTGAAGAGAAACTGTCTGATGGAAAAGACTAAACACTGTGAAGTGCTAAGAATGTCAGGCCTGCAAATACAAAATTAAAACGAAATATCCAGTTTTACAAACATTTTCACATGTGATTTCTCAGGTTATAGTCAGTCGTGAGGCACTCATATTGGACAGGCAGTTTATTTACAAATAGCAGACCCGTACACAGAAAGAAAAGAAAGTCATGATGGCAAATTTCCAAAGTGTGTTGGGTGATGAAGGATTTGTATCCAACAGATCTTAACAACCGAAACACCATTTCCCTCAATCTCTAATTGCTACTGGCAATTGGGGCATCAAAAAGTACTCAAAAACATACAATCACCAACGGTCATCAGCAATTTACTTTATAAAAATATCACCATGGTGATCCACAGACTCACAGATTTGACCGTTAAAAGAAAGACATATTTACAGTAATCCACACAAAGGGAAAATGGAAAGAAATCATTGGGGAACAAAAAGGTTGGAGGAAAAGATGAGCAGTGCAGAGAGGGTCCCAAAAGGCAAAGCTTGAGCAATTCTTGCTTTAAGGGCTCTAAATGGACACCTCTTAATCTTTTTCATTTGTCCTGTAAAGATCAGACAAATATATCAGTTAAAATGGAATCACAATGGTGGAGGATCGTACAATTTGTGATGCATAAAGAAACATTTACAATACACAGATTAACTTTGAAATATTAAAACAAATATATGTTTTTAATTTGCAATTGTGTCTTTCTGATTTGTCATACATGCAAAATGACCTGTGAGGTTAGATGGAAAAATGTATTTACTTTATAGTGTTGGCATAACAATGACTTATTATGAAAGAAATACTGTTTATCAGTATTGTCTTGTACATTTTAATTAACCTGAAATGAGAAAACAGTGCTTTACCAAGAATTTGGTATGAACACAACAGAAACAGAACTAATTACATACTGACAATAGAAAGTGTTGGATATGTTACTTTGGTGGACCACTATTAATTGCTATTACCATTTATTATCTGAAATTTTCACAAATGATGAACAACACATGAACTAATGACTACTGCGGGGAAAAACACTATCTGTAGTATTTTGAAAATGGTACCATATGGATCAGGTTTTAACTATAGTCTGACATTTCTTTTTCCCAATTATTCCTTATTTTTTGTATATTTATCTGTTGGCAACTTAAGTTATTTCATCAATCTTTTCTTAAGAAACATGCATTTAACAAAATAATAAGTTATATACCCTAAGGTAAACACTAAAACACATAAAACAAAATATGACCAGTATGCATGTAATGTAGATGTTACAATCACACATATACAATTGTCATCGTACCATAAAAGAGAAACATATAGGTATAAGGTTTTCATTCATGTGAAATCTCTCCTAATCTTTTATCCATTATTTTAGGTGTATACAAACAAGATGGGTATGCCATATATCCCAGGACTGCACTAGCATTGTGTTTTAAATTCTTTCTATCCAGTGGTTCTGTATACCTATCATAGTCTGTAATTACAGAAATGTGGTTTTAGACATCAAAGTAGAAGAAAGAGCAGAATGACTAGAGGATTTCTAGAAAACCATGCTGCAGTGAAACCAGAATATGTGTGCAGGTTGGGAGAGGTAGTCAAAACATGACAGACAGGTGACTCAGGTGAGTGAGATATGCCGTCAGCAACAGAAGATCTCACCTCATAGTTCTTCAGCAGTACAGCCAAGGTTGACAGACTGACAGGGTTTAGTATCTAGAATGAGACTGCCAGTGCTGAAGGAGTAGGGGGGAAAGGATGAGAGGATGCTGCAGTCACAATTGAGACCAGTACATGAAAATTGTGAGAAAAAAAAAAAAACGTGCATCCATACATTCACATAGAAACCTATGGCTATATGGCATCCTCTATCTTTGTGATACAATTAGCACAGGTACATCTATGAATAAATAATACTGTGATTGCAGCATGCAACATGATACATTTATATGACATGGGTAAGAGATTTCATACCACAATGAGAATGATGGACTGCAAGTCTAACATGTCACTCTCACTCCTCCAGGTGGATGATGTATGAAAATCCAGGAAGAAAAGTGACCTCTGACCACACAGTGAGGTGAGGAAACGTGTCCTTCCTTTATATTCTTAAGAGCAACATCATCAGCTAAGACCACTAGCTTTTACTGATGATTGATGAGGTGATGAAAGGTGAGGTGGAGGGAGCCCTCTGCTGGTGAAATATGAGATGACGACAGAATGGCAGCCAGATGGGAAAGGATCAGGACAGCACACTGGTGTTGTGTGAATCCACGTCTCGCATGCTCATGACATCTGTACTTACTCCGCACTCATACACAGGGTTGTCGAAAGCTGACTCTTCTGTCATGTTGTCATACGGTGGCGAGGATGTTGGCATTCTGATAGTCTTCCCTTGGAGTCTGAGTAAACAGCAGGGAAACAAAGAACATCCTGTTAAGGCTTATTTGATTCCAAATGAAATAAATAAAGTTTTAAATTGTTACTTACTTGGCAAAGTAGACATAAATCCCAAGGACAACCACCAAGATGATTGCAGTTGGAATAAAAACAGCGAGGGCAATATTGGTTCCCTCCATGCCATAATCCATATTAACCACTAGATGGGAAAAAAACACACAAACCAGTTATTTCTTACTGCACAAATGAGAAATATTAATATATTTATACTGCAATGTTTTGAAACACAGCTCACCATCTAGCCTGCGTTCGTTCACATATTGAGTTGAGGATGCTACCAAGACACAAATGCAGTTAGTCAGTATTTGGACCAGAGTTGTGTAACATAGCGCACAATGCATATATTACATTTAAGCAAAGCATTTGCATTCACAAACAGCAACAAAATCAATGGCACATAATATGGTCCAGGTCGTATTGTATTTCCAAATGTTGGGAGAATTGTAAAAGCTAAAAAAGCTTGCTACAGTGTGTGAGCATGATTCACCTCTGCAGGCAGGGGGAGTGCTATTCCACTGCGACGGGTGTCCAGGGATACAGTAGATGGTGGCGTCACCCTGAAGCTCGTACCCTGAGTGGCAGGAGAAGGTCAGCATCTCCCCTGCTTGGTAAAACGCCTTTTCAGAGCTCTGCACACTGGTGGAGGCAGCACCAGGGTTCCTGCATGGCTCATACTTTTCAGCTGAGAGGAAGGACAATATCTTAGGTCACAGAAATACTCACTCACTCATATTTGTACATTTGTACTTTGTGAAAGTACAGTGGCCCTATTCACTTCAGTTTTGTATGTTGAAACTACAGGCGCATGATGTGGCAAAAAATAAACCAAAATTATAATTGGCACCTTCAAGCATAACATGTTTAAATCATATATCCAAAGAACTCAAACAGTGGTGTGTGTGTGTGTGCGTGTCCATGTATATGCGTGTTTCCGAATTATGTGACTTACGGACACACTTGGGAAGCCTCTCGCTCCACTTGGGTGTGGCAGAATCTCGGTTGTAGCAGGTGAGGAGGCTGTTGCCAGACAGGATGTAGCCTTTATTACAGATGAACTGCACTGTCGATCCAACGGTGAGGCGGCTTCCAGTGATCACCTTATGACTGTGCTCCACATTTCCAGGGTCCTGACATGTCATAACTGGTGCATCACCAAAACAAACGATGATTTGTTATCATTTCCATTGGTGGTGTTGGTAGTTTAACCAAGAAAAATAATGATTTACATTATTGTTATATTATTACTTTTCTAGGATAAATGACACAGGTAAATTCCTAATACTGTAGGTACCTGTTTTAATGCCACACAAGATTATTAAGCACTATTCACAGTATGGAAAGGGGTTTTTAAAAGAGTACAGTACTACTACAGCTTTGAACTCCTTGTTGCTGCAGAACCAGAGATATCATCTTTTTTATTTCACATATTCCTCTTCCTTGTCAAAACCAGGTCCCCACATTATCCACAATGCAACTCAACTGCTAGTAGTGGCTAACTTCTAGCTGCTATTCTCAAGAAGAGATGAGGAGGTGGCTACCGACCTCCAAACAGAATCAACTAACATGCTGAATGCTGACTCAAGTGACATAACTTGAGGCAAATCATCAGATCATAAGATTTCACACAGCAACAAAAGACTATAAATGACTTTCCCTTTAAACGTTTTCCTTTAAGTTCAAAAATCACAGTTGCAACTACCGATATGGAACGTTTCCAAAATGTTAGTTAGTAGTATTAAACAGCTAAAACGAGGTCTGCGTCGACACTTGAGTTTACAATGGCTTCAAAACGGCTGCTAATTGGCACCCAATCCAAATATGACCCACCATTGTATCAGAGTTTGCTGTTGTGAATCAGCCACGTTAAAATATGAAGTCTTTTTTTTGCCCTGTATCACCAATCTCCATCCAGTACTAATTTGCTTTGAATATGTTGTATGTTTGACATTCTTTAAAATTGTGTCTACTATATACAGTTAGCTTTCTATTCAAGTAACTGAACAGGCATTACATTCTTCTCTGCATCCTCTGCAGCATGTGCAGCATGTGCAGATTAAATTTACTAAGAGAATAAAAGTTTTATTATGTAATCCAGTCTCCTCACTATACCAAAGCCAAAATATTCACAGACTATATGACTGGTGAGGGCTGACTCTTCTGCTCTCCATGTGTCAAAAAATGGCGAAAATACGAAGTTTTGCCTGGTTCCTCTCACCTTCCTCACATCTCGGCACGTCACCGCTCCAAGTGAGATCCCACTGGCACATGAGGATCTCAGACCCTACCAGCTCAAATCCAGGGTAGCACTGGTAGGTGATGACAGTGCCATGGATGAGGTCAGGGTGAGATGTGCTCTTCCAGCCGTTTGTGATCTCCGGCAGCTCAGAGCAGGTGTCGTTCCTTGGCACCTCTGTTGGCATTGGAGCAGTTAGTGTTGCGTTGTGTTGGTGGGAGAGAAGATATGCAGAATGGGAAATTATGAATTACCGATAGATTAATCATTTTTATTGACACAATAAGAAAGGACGATGGTATTGGGAATGCAGATAAACCTCAATAATGCTGTCTTGTTTAATGTACATATTTTTTATACGGGATCAAGATTGTGAAAGGACACAAGATGACCTTGTCTGTAGGAATACAACTGCAAATGTGTCTGTTTGGTGTGCACTAAACAGCAGCAGTTTGAGAGAGAATGTAAATAGAGGTTTGTGCTGTTTGCTGGGAGGAACACAACATGTGGTTTGGCACCAGTCAATCTGTGCCTCCCTAACTGCACCATACATGGCCAAGAACAGAAAGAAATGGGCAAAACCAGCTGATGTTGAAGTACCCTATTATTGTGTGTCTGTGTTTGTTGTTATCAAATCCTGTGCACCTGGGATAAACCAGAATACAGGCAGAGGCACAGCAAGAGAAAGAGGCAAAGAGACAGAGGAATAAATAGACTTTTATTCTAATTGGTAACCTGCTGGGTTTTAGGTATGAGTAAAATATTATATTTCACACTTAACCATTCTTTGTTTTGTTTTTTGTCATCATACATTTAATTACATTTAATTATAAGATAAAGTTATGGATTTCAGTTAACCAAGACAATTAAGTAGTGTTTTTTATTCAACCACAACTGAACATACAAAAAGAAAACCACAATCTTACCAAAGAAGTGGACCACAAAACCATTGTTGTAGCCATAGATGTTGGTGGCAGGATCTGACTGAAATTGAATTGTGACATCAGCCATGGAGGTATAGAGCTTGAAGTGTGGCCGTGTGCCACTGTATTGGCCCAGGATGTTCGCTGTCAGGTCATCACCATCATAGAAGGTCAGCAGATCATTCTTGCCAACATGGAGACTAGAACAGACATAAAAATGTGGTTATTTTCTTCCTGGTGATATGAATTAAGGTTTTTCTATAAAGTACAGCTATGTCCCATGTCTGTGGTTATGTGGTATGATGGCTAAGTATTTTGCTCAGAGCTTTAAGAGTTAAGCGACTGGTATCCTTCTTGGCTGATGAAAGCAAAAGCTGATGGCATAAGGCGATGTCAGCAGTCCTTGGGAAATAATAATTCTGTTTATACTGGATGGATCTAATGTGAAGTAAACACTAAATAATTCATGATGTATGCCTTTTCAGTCCCCCACATTGCTCTCATGAATATGTACTATAAAGTGTATATTTACAAAAATGAGCATAATATACCATCATCCTTTAGGTCACAACACCTATACAAAAAGCTGACAACCAGGATTATAGAAAAAAATGACAACAAATAGAGAAAGAGATGTTGTCTCATAATCAGAAGATTGCTGTTCAATCCCCGGCTCCCCAGAAAGCCCAGTAAATTACTCAGTAATGGCGTTAATGTCTAAGTAGTTGAGTTAAAGAGGCTTTTCCTTCCATTTCCCTACGACATCATAATGAAACATAGCTCGTAGTTGAGCCAAAGGGCTCTGTGAGCCCTTGATTTAGGGACAATGACATGGCTGGATAGCTAGCTAGTCTTCTTGTTAAACATAGGCGCTATGTGAGAGCAACGATATGATAGCAATATTAAAAGTCAATAACACTGTGTATGGTAAATTTAATTTGCCATTATGTTTAAATTGTGATGGTTAGACGACCGGGTCAGAGCATCTCCAAAACTGCAGCTCATGTGGGGTGTTCCCTGTCGGCAGTGGTCAGTACCTATCAAAAGTGGTCCAATTAAGGAAAAGTGGTGAACCAGAGACAGGCTCATGGGCGGCCAAGTTTCATTGATGCAATTGCTGAAACAGTTTATGCTGGTTCTGATAGAAAGATGCCAGAACACAAATTACATCACAGTTTGTTGCGACTGGGGCTGCATAACATTATGGCTGATCGTTGTATATTTATGAGAAATAAAGATTTTGTTGTCATTCAATTTATTTCAGCACACTAATTTAGAAGGGTGGCAGTTTCACTGGAACTACTTAGTAGGTGTCCTACATTAGGTACTAATGTACACCCTGCAGTCAGAATAGAGTATTCACCTAAACCATGGTATTAAAATGTATAATTTTAAAACTATGTGGACTATCAAAATCTGAAAAACAAGTTATATCCCGAGTGGTCCAGCTATGCTATGTAAACAATTTGATATAGATTGCTCAAAAAATTTAGGAGTAAAAAAAAAAAAACAGAATAATCCAAGGGAATAAAAATAATTTTGTTTCTGAGGTTCAAATTTTAAAGGCCAAAAAGTAACATCTGAAGTAATAGTGCCACAATCTGATTAATCGATAAAAAACATTTTTGTCTCTGTAGTGGGTGAGATTTCCAGCCCATCTGCTGAAATTCAGAACTGTTATGGTTTCTGAGACCAAGGTCATTTTAGAGAAACTCGTTGCTCTTTATGTGCCTTAAGCACAGGGGGACAAAATAGCAGTGGAGATTGGCAGATTGTTTTGTGTTAATATTCACAAGGTGTACTGAACAGAACTTAGCAGTAATAGAACAATGCCATTAAGTAGGAGCACTGCTTTTATAGCTATGTCACCTGTCCCCTGCATAAGCTCTCCCTCACCATTTAGAGTGCACGATCAAGAAATTAATCAAGCGCAAACACAATTTTCGGGAGACCAGTGTTTTCCCAAAATGGTAACTGATAAACCTCACAGCTTTTCTCGATTCCTTTGCAGAATTTTCATCAATGCATTAAGGCTCCCTCGCCTGTAGTTTCGATCACACCTTGTTATCAAATCATCGTTGAATTTTCCCCCGGATTTATCTTTGGCTTTTCAAAAATATCTATTCTGTCTGGTCATCTAGTATTGTGTTGTGATCCTTTATGTTTGTGTATACTTAAAGATAGCTGTGTGATACGTCAAAAGTCAAAATATTTCACAAATAAATAAATGGGGGTTCTGAGACAATTTGCTGTTGTCAGATTTAGGTAAAAAAGTCACACACTCATCTACGTCAATGAGATCACATGGCAATCAACATGAACCTAGAATAAGACTACATAGAGAGGTCAATCTTTGTCAAGAAAGCTTCCTATGTCCGCATCCTAGGAACCAACAAATTCAAATGGGTAACCAAGGAGAGAAAAAAACAGTCTGCAGGAGAACACAAAAATGAAAAACTTTATGGTAAAACATTTGGGTTCCTATACTATATATATTAATACAAATTCTAAGTCTACAACACAATACAATCATGCATTCCCAACAATGTAGCAGAAACAAATCTTACATGCAAATTGTTTCAAAGATAACATAAAAAAACACCAGAATGTTATTATTTTCCGCTGTTCTTATTTCTATCAGTTTGTACTTTTTTGTACTTTTGATTTTTACTCAGATTTTTCTTTTTTTCAGTTCCATATAAATGACGGTGGATTTTCTTGCCTAAATTACTTCTCTAACAACTCTATTTCATCTTCCGTAATCCACTGTTTCTATGTTTATGGTATCAGAGCCCATGACCACTGAATATGAGATTCAAACATGCACAGACTAAATACCTTTTTTATTTTTGTGGGAACAAACACAGCAGTAGAAGTCTAGGATGGGGTTTAAATGTGACTGACAGAGTTTTATGATAATAGAAGGAAGCAAATGGCCCTAGTCTGTTTACCTCTCCTCAGTCTTTTACTCATAACCTCCCCCAGTTTCCATGTCACTTCTGAGTAGAAACACACTTCAGTTAAAATCAATGAAATGCATCCACTTTAGGTATATTCATCCAGACTAGGACCAAATCCTACCTATTTATGTGATTTATGTTGACTATAAGCCTTGACCAATAATTAAACCCAAAGGTGAATTCCCTGGTTAAGGCTAGCAAGTCCCGGAGGGCACAAATTTGAGACAAAAACATGACCAGAATGACTTTATTCCACTGTCTGTGTGCAGTGTGCTGGTGCTGAAATTTGGACAGAACTAAATTCCAGCTTCTCCTGATGGACACAAATAATAGATGCCAGCTGCATGAATGAGAGTGAAATGAGGTGCTGAGTGACATGGTACTCCCTCCGGTTAGTTGGACAGCTATGGGGACAATTTACACCTCCATGTTCTCTAACAATCAGCGGCTGTGGATAGAAGTGACAGGAATGACAATGCCAGTTTCCATTTCCAGACAGCCATGGAGAACACTTGCATGCATATGTGGAAATGCTGTGTGTGTAGTGATCAAAAAAGAGGAAAGGAAATAAACATAATAAGCCCATGACGTTTTCTCACTCCTACATCCTTCGTTAGGTATATTTTTGTAACATCTTATTTGAAGCATTCACAATCTATAATAAGTATCCTGCTCACACTTAGTGACTGCATTGGATGACAGACAATGGGGATTTTATTAGCAGTAGGAGTAGTAGTGTCACAGTTGTCACAATAAAACGGGGGTGTCCAAGTCCACAGACGAAAACCGCAGCCAATGGTGTTTGCGTCTCCACATCTCACACTTCACTTCACCTCTATTCAAGCTCTATCCTTCACTTGCTGCTCATGTCAACAAGGCTATCCACCTTATCATTGCACTGTATTTCGCCTTATCTCCCCCCCTGCATTCAGACTACCCTAGAAGGAGGGATGGGGTACTGTCAGTTGGCAATCTTACTTTGTGATTACCTCCAGTCTCTGCATTTCATCGAACTCAACACAAATATACAGCACCTGCTGATCCCTTTTGCTATGTACAGGTTAGCAATTCTCCCAATTAGTCTAGTTCTTACTTTTTACTGCTTTTACTGTAAAGCTTCTACTCTCCTTCACACTGGTGTATCTTATCAATACAACAACCCATATCCTTTATCTTCTTTAGCTAATCTGATATTAGATAGAGCTCAATAGCATTGCTACTGATCTTCATCCTTTACTCTTAACTTTATACCACAAACGTTGGATAACATTTTTGCACTTGATGGTGAAATCTGCTCTCAATTCTTTATCTTTCAGAAGTCAACGCTGCTCAAGATTGAGACTGTGCTTCTCTATGTCTCATCTTCATCATGGAGAGATCACAGAATTAGAATCTGTCATCACACTTTCCACTGAGGCCTGGATCTGGGGCCAAATTCAGATTTTTCTTCCTGACTTGCTCTTTGGGAAAAATACACCCACAGTTACTTCAGAACTAACAACAATAATTTTGGTCTGATTTTGGGCAACATGCAAGGCCATCAGCCATATCCGAAAACAGCAGATTTATATTCAACAGCACTAGCAAATCGCACACTTCCCCACTTGACACACAGTAACCTTTCCTCCTGTGTGGGTTCCTAAATAGTCTCCCCTGTCGCTGTGACTCATCGAGAATGCTGCTGTCAACCTTGGTTTTAAATTTTCCCTCTGACCCCATCCATTCGCTCCACTCTCTGCTTGAAGTGTTTTCATAGAGCTGGTGACAATACAGAAGAATGCCAAACACACTCTGCCTTCAGTCCAGACTTACACAGAACTCTGTGTTGAGTCACTACAGGTCGCTCAACTGCCTTCTCTGTAGCAACCTGGCAACCGCTCCACCCAAATGTCATCCCACCTGGCTCCTTTAATGGTTTCCCCTCCAGACAGGAAAGCAGTCAAAAAATTGAAACTTGGTGACAGGCACTCTGCTCCTGTGTGTTGCTGTAAGAGCAAAAAATTGGCCGGCAAGCAGAGAATCAAAATATCGCTGAAACTCAATAATCAACTTAAAAAATTCACTGGAATCTTGTTCTCCTCTGTGATTGGACAGAGCCTGGATGACTAACAAAGACTAATGTGAACTTCTACTAGCCAAAGTGATGTTAAAATGGTGATGTGTGAGGGTGTAAGACTGGCTTTAACATAGTTAATTCCAAAAACTTTAAAGGCAATACTTGTTTAGAGTTGTCTAATGTGATATATCTTCTCCACCGAAGAGGCATGGGTGTTTGCAAAGGTCTGTTTGAAAAAGGACTTAGAGAATTTCTGGAGACTCCTCTGCATACCAATGGCATCAGCTCAATTCTGCAGATGAAGGGGTGACAGCTGTGTTTTGTATAAGCCTCTAGGCATTTTGTCACCTTCACTGACCTGTCAAGGCAAGTCTAAGGGACCCGGCAAATCTCCAGTAACTCTAACAGAATGGAAATTGCTTTCAGTGTCAAGCTTTTCAAACGGCAACCTTCTACATCTTATAGACATATTTGACATTTGAATTGTTCTGCACAGTGAAAAAGGTTCTCTTTTCAAATAAAAAACCATTAGTGTTCATGCACCTACATAACCCCAGCACAAGTGGACTTGCAAATGGCATGTTATGCTCAGAGTATCCACAAGAGGACTCTATAAACCCAGCATGTATCTAAAAGGTCTCTGTGCTCAGTAAATTGACATAAACATTCCTACTGTAAAAAAAAAAAGACGTCCTCATCATGTTTATAGGTGAAACACATTTCTAGATACAGTATACTCTAAATGCTGATATCCACATGTAAACCATTTACCTTGTTCAGTTCCACAGGTGGGGATATCAGCTGTAACCTCTTGTCTCCTGCTTTTGCTCGAGCCATGCTCCATGCTAATTAGCAAAGAGCCAGCCCTCCTGTTTGGCCTAAATTAATTAATCAGTCCTCATTATGCACACTGCTCCTCTGTAATTGCCAGCACAGGCACAGTGATGAATGATAATACAGAAAACATTGTCATTAATGTGGAAAAGTGTGTACCCACCCTTATAATGAGACAGCTCTCATCCACAAGAGCCTTTTGTCACTTCGACATGCATAACACGTGCACACAAACAACACTTTCACACAAATTACATGTTGACCGAGCCTTAAGGAATGCTATTCTCAAGATGCGCAGGCCAGACATGAGGGTAATGGTAGGGTCTGCAGGGAGCACACAAGCTGTGGGTTTTTACTTCCATGAATGCCATGCATGACCAACCTTGAGATAAACTAGAGCTGGCCACAGCACCATTAATTTACAGCGAGTGGCCTCATGTGGTTCGGATTAAAACAAACTTAGTGCTGGTGCAATTTAAAAAGACTCGACCTCTGAATGAAAATCAGTTTACCTCAAATCAAACTTGTTTACTTCTGCATGGGGAAAAAAAATCCCCTCTGATCTTTTTTACCCTAGGTGCACTGGTCGACTTGCAACATCAGACATTAATCACTGAAACTTAATCTCCAACTAAAGAACAGGGAGGCAAGCAGGGTCACACAAACCCCTGCGTGGTATTCAGACATTGCGTGTTATTGGTATCCTCTGATGCTATTATTCCCTTTTGATCTGTGGATCATATTTGCGTGGTCGCTCATATCTCAGTTATGGTAAGCCTAAAAGATAAAAGAAGAAGTTTGGGGCATTATGTGCATTGTGACCATGCAAAGGCATACACAACTATATGCTCACAGCTGTGAGGGATGAGGTTTTTTTAGACTAAATTCAGCAACATCTAAAAAAATACTTGATAAAGTAATGCAATACAACGTTTTATGATTATAATCTGATGTAAATCAGATAAATGTTATTCAAATGTATATTTGTCTAAAGTATTATCAACAGAATTTATCTAAATCCAAACTGATATTACTAATACTGTTAATGAGTCAACAAAGCCAAATTTAAGTACAGTTATACTTCTAGACTAAAATGTCTTATAGTGTTTTTTACACATTGTAATTAAAAAATCTTCTATTTAAAAAAAAGAAAAGTAATTTAGTGTTTTTTACTGCCCAAAGGAACTAGCAAATGCAAGAAAACTAATACAATATGATAATGATGATGACTGAAGTTTGCTGTAAATTACATGCAGGACAGCATCCAGACCTCATGTCATAATTAAACTTTGTAATTTTATCAACTGTTCAGAGATATACAGAATATTAATTCTTACAGCAAGAGTATTTTTGCAAACGCCTACAAACAAATGACCACCATGACCAATAGCTGATAGTACCCTCTGTTTGAGATTTGTCAGGGACTATTTTTCTTCAGCCTCAGGCAGTATTCCCAACTGGTTTAATTGGAACCTCTCTCTGCCCTCTTGTGTGCAAGTGCTTCGGGCAATAACACAAATATCTTGTAGTTTTGTGTTGTCTACAGGATCCCATGTTCATGGAAATATTCATGTAATCACTCAAACAAGACAAATAGATGAACCCATATAAGATAAGCAGACAAACACGAAAATTCTAAGGCACACACTTGAATTGTTTTGTTTTTAAAAAAAAGTAACATGAAGAAAACAAAGAAACGTGATCATTTACACTTCTCTTAGGAGCAATAACTTGGATAAGAAAGACGGGGTGTGTGTATTTGTGTGTGTGGTGTTGGAGGGGGCATACAGTAAGAGTGATGGGTGAAGGAGAAATGCAGTGTGCCTATATTTGTGTGTGCATCAGTCTATTGCAATCTGTGTGCATGTGTGTTGAATGTGTGTTGAATTACAGTTGGGAAGGCTGGATAAGTGGCTCAGAGTAGTTCACTGCCAGAGCATATTCATTTCAAAGCCAACTCTGAGACACACACCAGGGAAGTAGGAGCAGGGAGGCTTACTGGCTAATCTGGTCAGAGAGCGAGCTGGAAGCTACACAGAATTCTTAATGTAGCGGGTGAGAAAAAAATCTAATTAGTGACTGCAGCCACTGAAACACTTCCCCATGTGCATGTCGTAGCATGTCTATGTGAGTGACAAAAAAGATGAGAAATGTAACTGAATGTTTGTGTCTGGAGATGGAGTCTTTAACATCTCGAGGTCAATTTCACCTCCTCGCTGACCTCGCTGTGTGATTTCTCAGTCTTACACCTGAGTGCAGTCTCTTACACTTGGATGTCAAGCATGATCCTCTTGTCCTCTTCCACATGGATGCCCCAGATGCAGTCCTGCCCCTTGTCATAGGCCTCAGGCCAATTAGGAGACAGCACCACACCGGCAGAGTCTGTGATCTCCCCGCTGCACACAGCTGCAACGCACAAAGACCTCAGGTTGACACTGAGAAACATAAATAAATCGTAACGGATTTCAAGACACAGAAAATTTAGACTACAATCAATTTAACAAGCAAAGTATATATCAAAGCATGCAATTTAACTGGCTGAATGAAAACAATTATGTGACTTCATAGAATGGAAACATGGTCGTAATGCTTAAAAAATACAGCTGCAATCGAATGTGCAGGCTCCTTGACATGGACCTTGTAAAACTGCATACTACCACTGAACAGCTTGGTGACCATGACCCACAGGAGAAGAAATAAAATTTTCTTATATCGAGCTTTACTAGAGAGCTTTTCAATTTCACTGTTTGGCAGAATGACCATACAGGCAACAAAGACCGAGAGTGAGGTCAGTGTCATGTGTGGAAAGAGTGTGAGAAAGAAAGAGAGGAAGGGCTCAGGGGTAGTACAGCATTTAGTATGGTGCGCAGTCTGTGCAGTGTGGCAGTGTTCATCTTAGGCCAACTATTGTATGCCTTTTTAATCTTAAACACTTATAATAATCTGCCCTGCAAGCAAACATGTCACAGTAAATCATTGTTACATTTTAAAGAGGAAATTTATCATGGATCAGAATAGAGCAGCTTAGGAAAATATAGTTAGCTGCCAGTGGTCTTTAATATTTGAGTAAAAAGACTTCACTAACTCCTGCAGTGATCAAGTAGACAATGAAAGCCTTGGGTCCTTAGGTCAGTCATATCTTCCTCTAAGTTCTGCTCCAGTGGAAGCATATTTTTCAAAAGATTTAACGTCGCACAATTACCCTAGCGGATGAAATCTGTTGACTCACCCCTACAAGCCGGCTCAGTCTCATTCCACTGGGGGTTTTGTGCATCCACACACTCTATCACTACGGAGCCTTGCTCCAGGGTGTAGCCAGGATCACATGAGAATTCTACCACTGCACCCACACCGTAGGTAGAATCACTGCTGCTGAAGTTGCCATACTTCACGAAGGGCTCGTAGCACATACCTTTCGCAAAAGCTGTGGACAGAAAAAATGCACGGTGTCAAATGCAGGGTGACAAGGTACAGTGTGTCTATTAGCAAACTCTGCAAACTGCGTGATCCACCTGCCTTCGTATCTGATGGCTGCGCCAGTGGAGGTCATTGTCCCGTCTGTGGTAAACTCTATAAACAAGTAACGTCCAGTACTGAGCACGCCCTCATTGGGCAAATACTCTACCTCATATGAGTCGTACACAGGGGGAGAGTCTATGTTGTTGCCATTCTTAATCAGCAGCCTTAAAAACACAGAAATAAGAGGAAGATAGATTAAAATAGATGTAAGTGAGCCTTGAAAGGTAAAAGAAGCATAAAAGAAGTTACAAGCTATCTGAGAGCTGCCCACTGTTCCAGTTGTGGCTGTAATAACATTTTCCACCATTCTGTAATGAGGTAAATGGCCATGTATGACAATAGCCATGTGGATCAGTAGTTAGTGAAAAATGTAATGCAATTGCTGTTCCCTACCTCTCACTACCCTCTGTAGTCCCTTCAATTCATTCGCTTGATGGAACACTGTTAAAGGATTATAATGATAAAAGGTCCTTTCAAATTCATCTGTCACTCCCTAAAGATTTTGGTTATTTATAGCCTTTGAGGGTTTTAATGGTCTATCCACAGGCATGGTGTTATTCAGAGAATGAGTTTAAAGCTCTGTGCCATCTATTAGCTGAAGACACACATACACACAAAAATTCATACTGTACACTCCCGCCTCAATGTGTGTTTTGAGTTTTGCAGTCTGCATACACTACCTGTCATCGTCCTCTGCCAGAGCCACCTTCTCAAAGTGAATGTGAAGCCGGTGGCCTTCAGGGGCCTCCAGGACCCAGTGGCATGTCAGATTGTTGCTGTAGTTGCCAGGGAAACCTGGTGAGACGATACGACCGTAGGTGGCATTTTTTATCATTCCCCCACAGGATGCTGTATGTGAGAAGAAAGAGAGGGAGAAGACAAAGAGTTGGAGGGTAAGACTAGATGAGAAAAGTAATGACACCAGCTATGGTAGGGGGAGTTTTGGAGAAAAGTCCCTGTCTGACCAGAGATTGCATCAATATCCAGTGGACTGTGGCTGGACTACACTCGGCGACTCACCTGGGTCTAAGAGTGCGTGACTGCGTGTGATGGACTTGTAAAGAGAACAGCAAAACGGCGGCAGTTACACTATCAGTTCAGAGCAGCTGCAGGCCGGCACGGAGAAAGGCTGGAACTGGCAGATGAGCCTTTACCAGCAGGAAGATAGTCATGCGGCCCAGTTCTAATTAAGGCAGCCAGGTCCAATGGCCTTGTTTTGCCCTGTCTCTAAAGAATAGCTCCCTGTGCTGCTAATCACATGCAAACACACTCATTTGGCCTCTGAGTGTAACTAATCAACTCAGCAGGAGACAACGTAGTGAAAGCTTTCGTTAATCAAAATCACCTGTATTCTAGAAGAAAGCTGCAGAGAAAAGGGCTTACAATATACCATACATTTTTGAGTGTTTAAAATTATTTACTCTGCACATCATTTTAATTGTAGAAATGGCTTCTATCAGATTCTAAATAGTATTACTCAATAATACTTTAATAAAGTTTCTTAGGAAACCATTTGGACAAATTTAATTATGAAAGAAAACAAGATTGCTTTAGAAGTCTGCCCCCAGTCTGTTAACTACTAGAAGGTAATTTAATAGAAAAAAAAATTAAATCTAAAAAAAAAAAGCAGTGAGCATACCAATTAACCTGCAGGTGTAAGGACCTACAGTTACAGAGACTTAATTTTGTGTAATTACAGTTTTTGCTGCTTTGTTGTTGCAGTTCAGTAAGGGGCTACCTCATTACCCTGAACAGCTCCTACTGGAAATGAGCTAACATGTGTCTGGCAAAGAACCAGTTTGACTTACCCACACATCGGGGCTCCTTTCCACTCCAGTAAGGTGTGGTTGCATTGCGACAGGTAAGCATTTTTGGGCCTTGCAACTTGTAGCCCGTGAAACAGCGGAAGAAGGCTTCTCCGCCAGCATGGAGGTGTGTCACAGAAACCTCTCCGCCAGCAGGCTCTTTGGGGAACGCACAGCTCAGCACAAAGGCTTGGGAGAAGAAAGATCAGTTAGAAATGAGAGAGCAAGCAAAGGAGACATTTTAATTAATTAGAGTATAAGTCATTTTTTTATGTGATTTTTTTTGTGAACTGTAACGGACCTAAAAATCATCTAAAACTGAAATGCATTTGATAAACACTATATAGGGGACAAATGTGCTACTTTGGTTCTGCTAATGTAATGCCAGTAAAATTTATTAAATGTGTGATTGTTGCTGCCTAATGTGTGACAAGATGTCACAAGGTAAAAAACCATTAATGCTATAATGCAATTCAATTAAACAGTTAATTAATTTGCTAATTATCTGTTCTGTAACGCAAGTGCAAATAACTGACCTGATAATGAAACCCTTTATCGAGGGACTCACTTGCGACCTCATTTTTTATCCCAGTTTTAAGTATTCTTTCAGCATTCTGATACTTGAGGGAAATTTTTAATGTAAAAATGACAAAAGTCAAGTTCTTGCCAAAACAAACAGCCAACAATGTTAACTGGCTCCACAACATAATCCTCTGTATCCTGCACTGTGCATAGCCGGTGCTGTGTTGCATTGTTGACCATGTTGTCTCTCCTCCAAACCACCACAGAGCACACATGCATATTTAGATATAAGGGGGGGGGGTTCCATTGTTTGTGCAAATAAATCAAGTACAATGCTTCAACTCTGTCTCTGCCTTCCTGATTCTCACATACACACAGGCACATACAATTAGGGGTGCTTTATAACCAACCTTCAACTTTCTTCATAAACACTCCATTTCTTAATTAATTGCAGTTTACCAGTTCATGCAGTATGTAAATGTACAGAGACATGTTTGCAGCACTACAGTAATTAACATCACCGTGGGATGCAGTGTAGAGCCACTGCAAATACTTTGACAAATGGAAATGTTGCTGATCAGTTGAACATCATAGTGGGCCTATAATGTGATAGGTGGAAGAAAAATTGCCTCTGTAGTGGTTGTCAAAGAGTCCTGATTCCAGCAGGGTAAGATCAATGTTCCTGGACTTGCTTTGCATTGTTGTTCTGTCCCTCTTTTTAAATGAATGGTGTAGGATGGGATGGAGTTCACATGGATAATGGAGTGAGCTAACCAAGTCTGTAATGGAAGCTATTAAACAACCTTCTCTTCCTGTCTAATAACCACACTGTTCTACCTCATTAGTGTCGGCACTTTAATGATCAGACTAAAACTTTTAAAGTTCTGGTGAATGTGTTAACAACAAAACAAGCAACATAATTGGACCCACTATGGCTTGTGTTATAATAACACTGTGATTGTGCACCGGCAAAATTACAGAAGCCTTTTAAAAGCTGCAACTTTACTCAAACTTTGCAAGTTGCACGTCATGTCTCAGCTTAATGGAGTGTATGCAAAGCACAAATAAGAGCTAATAGAAGGAAAAAACAACAAGGAAAAGGACATAGTGGAGGACCTGCCTGCGTTGAAATTGTATTTGCAGTCTTAAAAGCAATTATGATAATAAGCATTGGCTATGTAGTGCAAACACCTTAATCTACTTATGTTAATATGATTAAGATTGGTGTTTACAGAATTAAGAAGTGTACTATAGCAATTTTCAGCTGCATAGTTAAAGGGCTGTTTGGTGAGAGCTTGTCTGTAGAAATGTACTAAGGTGTTACCTATTCTTTTTCTTACATCCAGCCTTTTTTCTTTATTTTTTTTTAAATTGTAAACATCACAGAACTGTACCTTCTATCACTGAAATATGCACTTGGCATGAAAACATCCAATCAGCAGTGCTTTAGTTCAAGACCAGGACTAGTTGAGACAGAGTTCAAAAAGGTTCGAGTGTAAGTCAAAAACGAGTCCAAATGAGAGAGACAGAGTCAAGACAGAGACAGGAGAAAAAGAGTTGAGTGAGTTTTGGCAGCCAGGCATACGATTGTATTGACATTGACACGTTCTAGATTTTGAATCAAACTAGAGTATTTGGTGAGACCAATGGCCAAGTCCAAGACAAATCTAAGTGCAAATACCAACGAGTCCAAGACAAGTCTGTGACAATGAAATAGTCAGAGACCGTACAGCACTGCCAATCAGTATTTAAAGTTAATGTTTAGTAAAGAAATTGAAAGTCATACAGTATAATAGGGTTAATTTCAGATGGTTTAAAACATACTTGGACAAATTAAAATTGTCCTGATAAAGTAAACACCAACTGTTAAAAGATTTTTGACACAGGTCCCATGATAAAACAGCCAAAGGCCTGGGTTTTTAAGATCATACGTTTAGCGCAGAAGCAGAGGACACGTAGAAAGCAAAAGCTGACACTTGACAGACAGGCTCTTTGGTCCACACACACGTCTTTGCATGCACACATGCAAGTCCATTAACAAGTGGAGGTTAAACAGCACAAAAAGAATTCTGTAGTGGGTTGGATCTGAAGTGCTTTCATTGCAGCCAGTCATTTGTAGATGAAAAACAACACTTAAGTGATGTTTCTAGCATTACCTTGAAGCTAAATTGGATATTCAAAAATGTTATTCTATCAATCTTTGAACTCGAACTCGAGGGAAAACAGCCCTAAATGCATAATGGCCATAAAGGCTTGTGAAAATGCCCTCATCTACTATGTTTTAATCTACTGACTGGGTTTTTTTTTATACAAGCCACTGGTCCCCACCATAATGAAACAGGCTTTTCTTTTGCAGTAAATCAGTGAGCCACAGGGACGAGGTACACTGCCCCTGGGTCATCCATTCAATTCATAGTTTATCACTAGCTCCAATGAACCTCGTTATTGCCATTATCATAGCAGCATTTACATCCCTATTGAGCATGCAGTGGGAGAGCCAGAGGCAAAAATTGTGGAGCCAATTCCTGGAGTATTAAATTACGTGCTCCCTCCATGCCAGTAGATGTGGTGCTGGGCCATAAAGTCTGATTGTTTTGCCATTACAAATAATAGATCCACGGTGCAGACAGCCAGGAAGATTAGCTGATAGTACTATAGGGCCACAGGAAACAGACATGGAGCTTATGTCTTTAGTTAGTGTTTCCTTGTAGAGAAAAGGAAATGGTCACATTGGTAACACTCAGGTAAACCTTCAATTTTACAACATTACTAGTATGGACTAGCATTTCAGATCAAATGTATGCTTTTGCAAAGTGATAAAAGTGTGCACTACAGACAGGAAGTTGCAATGTACACCAAAATGTGCACGTTTTCTGAATCACAGAGCTAATTTAAACAAAATGCTACTGTGGTTGTTGCCATTCTGATGAATCCCTAAATAAGTGATAGACAATTACTGTCAACCAGATAACAGGGTGTCTTAGTGGAAGATGGTTGTGTGGAAATGATGTATCACCTCACTGTGTTCCCATATTTCTTTTAAAATTACTCTGTTTAGATGAAAGAGGGCATCACAGGTCAAAACAAGGAGAAATCACTGACAGAAATGCTGTATCGTCAATATCAAACATGCATTGTACTTTAATATTGTTTTAAAATTAAAATAAAAAGTGAGGAAAAATAGATAAAAGCCTCTGGGATTTAAATGGCATAGTTTCACATTCTGTTTTATGTGTAGCTTGTCAGAACCAATACATAATCATAAGGAATCTGAACATGGACTAAATGTTTTGTTTGTTTGTTTGTATTTTCCAATTTATTTTTGTCATTTCACAGTACTTGTTCACAAGAGTTCAAGAGGAACACATCCTGTCTTCCTGTCTTTCTTTTTCTCTCACTTATCTGTGCAACAGCAATTAATTTGTCCTGCCTTTTTTGAATATGAAGTCTTTCTGTTTGTATTGCTTCCTGCCCTTACTCACCTATTTAAAATTCAAGTATTTTGTGTCAAAAAATATAGGACTATGAATCTGCATTTTGGGTCCAATAATGAGTTACAGTTTCTTCAGCCCTGTGTCAGGTCTAGAGATCATCTTTTGGAAATCATTTTAAAAAAAAACATTCCCTGAAAGAGCACTTGGTGTGACTACTGCATTCACTCACACACTCTTCCCATTAATGAGCCTTACTCTGCTGTATGCACATTTTTCATTTGCTGCAGTACTTCAAATTGAGAATGTTGCTCTTCAACCAATAATGGACAAATATTGTTGACTTGGGCAAAATAGATGAGGTGAAGAAGCCGGTAACGCTAAGTTATCCACCGTATTTGGACAAACAAATAAAATGCATTTCAATTTAGGCCTAATAAACTGTGTTTTCATCCTTTCAGGTAGAGAGCTGGAATGAGATTAAACTTGGCAAGGGGAGAGCAGGATATAATGACAGAAAACAAAACACAAATAATGCAAGTAGTGTCAATTGTTATTGTTATATTTAATGGCTGTATATTCGGAGAATATTATTCACCATGGAGAGAGTAAAATGTGTTTCAAAGGAGACAAAACCCTGTGCTGATGACCGTCTCTAGTCTTGTTGTTGTTTTGGTGCACTGTGATGGCAGCAGTCCTGCAGTTAGCAGGTAACTTGTGGGAGAGTACAACTGTCACTGTGTCCAAGCCTCATGTCCTGGCTGTGCACCAAAGCATTACCTTTTACAGAAAGATCAATAGTGTTGTCTCGAAAGTGATTCAGTTGTACAAAGCCAGACCATAGTTCTGTCATGATATGGCCTATTGATATTTATGTGGTTGGGTTAAAAACTCAATTTTAATGGTCATTTACTCAATAAAGGCTATTAAGGAGAAATAACTTTGGACTAGAGGCGGCATCTCATCAATGCTACTGAGAGGTTGTGGCAAATGGTGGATCACTGCCAGGGGCAGAGGTCCTTTGGCCACCTCACTTGTCAACCTGGCTTATTAGTTACAGCTAATCAATAATTCCTGTAAAGCATCACTGCCATTGGCAATGCCATTGATTATGCTCTACATACTTAATAAAATCCTGTAATAACAATTCAAGCTCACCTATAGATGTTAAGAGGTCAGAGATGAGATGATGGCAATCATTTCATCAACTAAACAAGGAGGTTGTGGTTCCATAAT